AGAGAATTATATTTTGTATATATAGGGCATTTAGGTGAGTCTTAGATACTCGAACTTTGAACTTTTTTAAATTCAACAATATTTTAGCCCATTTCATCTCATATTGAATGTTGAAGGTTTAACGGTTGAAGGGCAGAAATTCTTTATAATCGTGACGAAATGACATATTAGTCAAATCTCAAACGAGTATGGTAACAGGAAATCGTAATGCACGGTGAATGGTTATTTTGACGCCTAATGTAAATTACATTTACTCTATTGCGCGTCACATCACTTACGCGTTTGGTTACACATTGTAGCGTCGATGAGCATATGTAGATATAGACATAATGGCTGAATATATATAAAACGGGTTCAAATAATCATTAAAATTGACCCTGTTTGAACTTTTACGAGACGTTACTATAGTTCACCTCAATAAAACGTCCAGTTCATAATTATAGCTCTGGTAACATCAATGCACGCTTTATCCATGCATATAATCATCATGTATTCCTTCGTATACGCACGCATTTTGCAATAGATACATTCGTCAATGCACATATTCATCAATGCTGAAACCGATCGGCACGCGTTAAGGTCAATACACTCTGAGCGAATGCCATTGAACCAGTCGTTCAAAGATGCTAGTGCTTTTTTCACAGCCTTCACGTGTTGCGCGATGTAATTTTAAAACACTATTCTTTAGGACATAGTTATACATGCGTTATATAGTTATATATGTCTGCAACATCTTTGATACTCAAAGCGAAATTTAATTTAGATAATACGGGTATATATTGGTCAGGATTATTATTAAAAATTCAACCTCCCGATTCGCTTATCGTTATGCTACAATGGATTCTTTTAATCAGCATTATTTATTTATGCTACGGGTTTGGATTTAATCAGAGTCTTGAAACTCGTTTAAGTTCACAGCAATTTGTAAAACTTATAGATTCGTTTAAGTTACCTCACGCAAGAGTTATATCATTATATGACATGGTAAAATATTACAGAATGTCGCATATGCTACATCCACCATAATCCATTCGATAACTTTCATTGCGGACAACTGGTAAAATTGTAGAATTACTCTACTTCCGAACCTCTAGCTTTTTTTTAAGCCATCCAAACCTCGTAAATCAACTCAAGATGCCTTTGTTGTGGCTCGAGGATTTTTCAGTCGCTACATTCGACTTTCGCTGATATTTATTGAATGGGTTTAGTTTATTTAAAAACAGCGTAAGGACGATATTTCATTGAAGATTCACTTGTGACATAACTGCAAAATGAACATTTGCAACGTTCATTAAAAGCTTCGGTAATGAGCAATCACGAGTGCAATTAAATGAACCCTTAGTTCAGAAGCTAACGTCATTGACGTAAGTTTAAGTTGCTTCTACTTAATGCGATCTCGGAACTCAATTCAGAAACTCGCCTAGACGATAATTCAAAGTCAACCCGTTCGTTAATTCTTAAGGCCCTGGTTGAAGGTCGCAAGGCTTCTAACAGGCTTGGCTCTTCCCTATGCGTTTCTTCACTAATTAGGATAGACTTTACTCCACTCGCAAATGAGATGGCGATATGGATTTTTCCATGCTTACCCATCTATTTATTTATAAACGGTGATCAGTAACAAAAAATATGTAAACTTTGTATTAAAACAGTTTTAATGAGAGGAAATTTCAAGCAACTTTGAATATTATTGTTCATCAAGTCTGCGACTTTTTTACTTTTTTCGAGATATAAAAGGGTTGTAATTTTTATTCTCCATTGAATGGTATACTCGGCATTCCTTGATCAGCCTCTTTGTTGTAGATATTTTCGACCGAAAAATAGTTATGATCGAGCCTGCTGATACGCGGAGGGAAAATCCCGCATACTAGCTGCTCAAATGGAGGCGTTGTGGAATACATGAGGGGAAAGAGAGGTCGTAAATTACTGAACTGTCAGTTCACGACAGGTGGCATGGTAAAGGCGAAGTCAATGAGGGGCGAAGAATAATACGTGGCCAGTGGTCGGCCTATCCAATTAGTTATAGCCGACCGTTGGCCATTCCTCGGCCACCTGTGAGCGACCAGTGACCGCGAGAAAGGGTCTGGCTACGATACCATATTACAAAGAGTACAAGCTCGAGGGTAGCGACAGGCCGAGCTTCGGACAGATCAAGGATTTTACACGATGGTCGCGAAAACCTCGCTCTTAGACTTCGCACGGCTTTCAGTCAGGGCCTTAACCAACGTTTGTGAGCCATGTTGACCCCAAAAAACATCAAAGCTCATCTCTAATACCACAAAAATCTTCACATTATTAATATTCACAATAAGCTAGATGAATTGATACGCGTACATTGTTACGGTATTTGTCAAGCCATTTAATTAACGACCTCTAGCATTATACTTTTAAAGAGTGAATATATAAATCAAATTATGGGAGACAACAGTATTTCAATTTACAGGATTAATATATAATCACATGTATATAATTACAGCTATTCATTCATTAGTAGGAAGTTAATTTTCGAGAACGGCCTCGTAGGATTTATAACCTCACAGGATTTAGTTTTAGGCTGGTGCTACTATGAGTCAATGACCTTTTTGCTTTAGAACGTTCTACATCAGTACATAATTTAATTACATCGACAGGAAACATTTATCCCGGTGAGCTTAAGACACTCACCGAGGCACCCACGCTGCCGCCTAAAACATCGTGGTACACATATTTCCATTCTAAGTAAGAAAATCAGTCGCTGATTTTTATCGCTCGTCATGTGTATTTGCACATGAACATTGCTACGTGTTATAAATACAACATCGTACAAAAAAAATTCAAGTCTATTGAGCGTTTAATTTTAGCAAAATTATTAGTTAAATGGTCATTTATTATGCGGGAAAGGTTTGATAACTTTCCGAGACTCATCTAATATTCGCGAATCATGAGCACTGCTACCTGTGGATTGACAACAGTTTAATAAGATTACTCAACCTTTAGTCCGGCGACCCTATTAGATGCCTTGACAGTAGCTGTTGTTTATGCCGTCTCTTCTTTTATCACATGCTCATCTTGCACAGCATGTTGTTGAACTTCATTATCGATGCTGTATGCGGTTACCCGCTGTAGCTGTTGTAGAAATGTTGCTCTTAAGTCTATATGATGTGAAGTTTTAGCTTTTTGTTGTTTATTCCTTTGCTGACTGCCATCGACAGTCGTTGCCACATCGCTGCCACCTTCTAACGACACCGCTGGCTTGTTGTAGGACGCTTGTATAGGCGCCCTCAGCTGATGCCGGCCCTTGTAGTCGCTCTCGTAGACGCTCTTGTAGACGCTCTCGTAGACGTTCTCGTAGACGCTCTCGTAGACGCTCTCGTAGACGCTCTTGGCTCTGCATGTTGTACTGGATTCAGAGAACGCAAAAAAATGCGTGGACGCTTCAAATTACTCTGCGTCAGTTGTAGGCTTGAAAGTCTTGACGTTGCAGGTTAACTAAGACGCGCCAGACAAAACTTGAATATTCTCACAGTTTCCGGCTGCAGAAATTAGTAGATGAAGGTCTTCTTGGTCTCTTCTTCAGACGTTTAAATGAGTTAAACATCGCTGAAACAATCCGTTGAAAGGCTTGGTCGCACGAAAATCACTATGCGACAGTGTTGCTATAATCACAAACACTTCAAAAGTCTTTCACTTCACCACCGTATTTAAAGTCTCACAATTATAGTCAAGCAATCGAATTTCACTTTTTAAGAAAACACGATTGTTATCACTTAGTTCGGCGCCAAAATGTCCGAAGACTCTATACGTGATGTGACTGGAGAGAAACTATCTCTATACGGGATGGTATTATGGGAGAGTTATAATAGATATAAGCGCGCGACGGCCGGTTAGGCCGGAGAGACTCAAGCTACACGCTACATCGCGGAGCGCTTATCAGCTACTGGGGGCTTTGCTTAAGGTTGCTAGCCCTTTTATAACGTTCGCTTCCGCCCACTACTGCGGTCTTGATAGCGTGATCTATCACGTGTCTATCAGATGTTGACTCGTCCTCAATCTCTATCAGGTCAAGTGAATTGTCTCCGGACATAACTTTCCAACCAGCACAGAGATTTTCTCAGCACAGAGCAGGTCTCAAGACAAATTTCCTGCACTTTCCATTACTACCAAACTTTGCAAGCAACATTGTGTGTAGTTATTGTCTTGTCTGTTGCTTTTGCTATCAAGACTCTCCACAAAAATGATGAATGATTCTGGTAATTGTTACATGGCAGCTTCTTATGCAGGCTCAACATGAAATCAGATGGGAGCTACGGTACTGCTCCTGTTTATCATTTACATTCAATTTATTTGGTTCAGTTTTAGTACTACGTATGGTATTTGTTAGCAGCAGAGAATTGAAGTGATAGTAAACCAATCCATTACTTCAATAGTTAGTTATGAAGCTAATACTAGAGTCAGCTAATATGTTATTTTCCATCAATGTTCAAATTGTTCATGGCAGATGAAAGGTGCGTCAACATGGAGAGCCATGATCGGTCCACTGCGCTCCTTCTGCTCTGTAAAAGATTCACTCCTGAGTCGCAGACTGACTTGCAAACTGAGGTTTCTATCTAGCGCATTTAATAATATACATTATTTTAAATTGAACTGTCCCTTGTTAGAAATTAACACATACATGCTAGAGGAACAAAAACTTCACTTATGATATGCTGAAATTGCATATATAGCTGTTAGTTTCCACTTTGTTTTGTGTTACAATCAAGCATCATATTTCTGTTGTAATATAATTCAAATTATTTGCAGACATGATGACCCTGGTTGTGTTTTATAAAAATAATATCTAATGATATTTTGGTTGAAGAAATGTTGTTATTTATGCCGATAATTTGCAGTTTTTTTTAAGAGCTAAGCTTTGGCTTATTACTTTCAAGTGCTAAGCTAAGCTTTGGCTTATCCTTTCATTGTGAATTTCATTTTCTTTATTCTTTTACTTGTTAACGTTTTTATAGGAATAAATTCTGGTGATTCTCCTAGCTGCTGGTGCAAATCCTAATCTGCCTCAACCTGATCCAGTTTCCTTACCTCTATTTGCTGGTGCGTTTTGGTGTGGACTTTTTCTAATGGTTATGTAGATTTTTGGAGTGGTTAATGATTTTCATAAAATATTTTCTGGGACAATTTAAAGAAGTCTATTTTTGATACTTCAATTAAACCTCTTGAAATGGTACGAAGAAGAATGAAATGTTAATTGTTATTAAGTTTATAAAATATGAAATAACTTGGCAAGAGTCTATATGCTTCTGCAGTGATATGGAAGTTGTAGCAAATTTGATCTGCTTGGTTCTGCTTGAATTATTTTGACAAGAACGTGTGAATAAAATACTTGTATGCTTGCAAAGGATGCAGAGGAAGAAGCAGTTTGCACCTCACTGATGCATTTTTTCCAGCGTTGGAGAAGCGTTGGTGGCGGGGCGCAGAGCTGCTGCTGGATGCTGGTGCAGATGCTAAGGCAACAGATGCAGAGCACAACAACAGATCAGCTACATTCTTTGCTAAGGTTCAAGCTGCTTTTTCTTGAAATATCCATTTATACTATTGTGCACAACTGTTGCTGGTTCCTCTACTTTGCAGACAATTTGGAAGTGTGAACAGCAATTACTTTGCTCATTTACTGGAGCCTCCAGTGTATTTTAATTCATTATATCCTTATTTCTTTGCAAATTTCTTGTTGATTGACCCCTAGGTTAGGTACTACTCTAGATGCATACAATATTCTATCATATTTCAATCCATTGTATGTAACTTTTCCTGATCACTTAATCTTACATTCGTCTCAATAACATTCGTGTGATGCTGCAACATGTTCAGTGAGAAAATTGTGCCATTTTATTTTTATTTATTATAACAGTTTTTAAATCAAAGAATTTTGAGCATGAGCTACTTTTACTTTTAATTTACAGGACAATGTTGAAATACTTGCAAGACTTCTAAAAGGTGGCTGTTCCTACGAGGAGATCAGTGATTGGATTGGAGGAGGAGAATTTACCAAAACACAAGCGAAGAAGATGGTGTTGGCAGTGCACGAGTTGGGACCGTGAGTTCAGCTGCATCTAATTAAATGCTTAGCACATCAGCTTGCAATCAAATCTGTGTATCATAAGTTGAAAAATACGTTATATGTATGTGTAACACAATGTAATTAAACATATTCTTTCGTTGCATTAATAAATAATTTGTTCTTCATTTTTCTCTCCTGATTCTGTTTCAGAGAGTTTGTCACAGAAAATCTTCTGTACGAGACTTCAATATATAAACAGGACCATGAAAGCTCATTTTACCTGTTGAATAATTTTGTTATATTGGAACTCGACCTACCCGGATTCTTTGACAGAATTTTTTACAATGGTGAAATTAAGGACTGGAATTGTAAGAAGAAGTAAGTGTAAACAGATAGACTGATCGATCATATATGTGGTTAGTGATCAATTCCCATGTTGCCTCGTCCTGCTTCCCATATAGAGCTTGGCACTTGCTAAATCATTCTTATAAGTAAAGTTGATGGGACTCGCTTATCTGAATAATTGTGAGTCCAGCTCTGAATATGAGATAATTCATCTGACTGAAAAACATTAGTCATGAGTTTCCCTCAAACCTGGCACAGAGCAACAAGTTTTGGGTCTTGTTTGAAACAGCTCTATTGGTCATGATGCTCCAGTTGTTGCACAATGAAATTTTCTTTTTGAAATCTTTTTTGGGAGCTGATAATTGAAGTCAGCTTTAATCAGATCATTTTTATTTAATCCATTTTCAATATCCTAAAAGCAGTATTCATCTATTCAGGTACATAGATGTCCTGACAAACTACATCTTCCGAAATGAAGAGAAGAAAAGGGAATTATTATTCGACCTTTTCCTGTCATGTTTCCAGTGAGTACCTGCCGAATCTGCCAGTTAATGAACTTGCTGCAATTCCAGTTTTATTAGCCTCTATACTAATTATTTAGAAAATTTTCCACACCAAAATGTTTTCCAATTAATTATATCGACATTGCTCTGAAGCAAACTCTGGCCTAAATCACTTTATAAGCGTATCCAGAAGTATAACTTTAGAGACAAGTTAAAAGGATTCTTCAGTTTGTCCTCTTCTCAGATACTGCGCGGTGGGAGGTACACAATGTGCTGGTGAGTGCGGTTGGAACGGGTCGCCCCAAGTCCAAACTTCCTCAGAAATGCAGTAAGCCGATTTATTACTTTTAGACCTTAACACGTATCTGCGAACGGCCGTATTTGTTAACGGTGTAATTTGTTGAAACCTAATCGCCATTACATAAGTCCCCTATCATTTTCATTACCAACTTACACCTTGCCTTGATAGCATGTCAATTCAAGTTTGCATTGTAAATATGCCTATTTTTAACTTAGTCCAAATGCTTATTTATTTCATTACAGATCTTAGAAAATTTGTGGAAACGAACTCTCAGAATATTATGCCATTAACTTCTTTCTCAAATTGACGAAGTCATAAATCGTTAAATGGAATTATAATAAAATAAAAAATACAACTAATGCTACTAAAACCTTTCTTGTAATTTTATTTCTTCAAGGCTTGAATTACTGAAACGTCTTCTCGCACTAGCGGAGCACAATGATCTGCCTATTGAGATGTGGAGTTTTGGCAAGCGTAACTACAGACGGTTTGTGTGAGTAGTGTGTATGTGGTTATTGGGTCTTCATTACCAGGCTGTTAGGCTATTGAGTGTAGTGAACGGTTTACGTAAGTAGTGCGTGGTTATTGTATTAAGATTTACATTTGGGAGGTATTTAGAGAATAGATCTTTCAACTCCTTTGCCATCGTCTCAGATGCGGGGCCAAAGTAAGGAAAAGAACAATGAACACGATTCCTATCGTCACGTTCGGGAACCACCTCAGCATATTGTTTAGACAAGAACTTCTTAATTTGAGTATACACAAATTGTAAAGGAAACACAAAGGAAACAATTTTAGTGAACAATTTCGAAATTAGCTCGTTTTTCAAGTACAAAGATCCTATCCCTTTTCTTATGCGATCATCCCTAGTTTATCTATATAGTTGTGCGCAGTGCGCATCTGCGTATGTCGGTATGACATCGCGCAATTTTTATACTAGGCTTGCAGAGCATAGGGGCAGGAGTTATAGAACAGGGAACAAACTTGCGCATCTCCCTCATTCAGCCGTACGTATTCATGCCGAGCAGTGCAAAGTCCCGGTGTCCAATAGTGATTTTAGAGTTTTAGCCTCCACAACCGGTGTTTCTGACCTACGAATTTTAGAATCATTATATATTTTCAAACAGAAACCCAGTTTAAATGCTGCATTCAGTTCCTATCCCCTACAAATTGTAAATAGATAGTACTTTCTCTGCATGTCATCTCATTTTTATTTCTGTTATCTTCGATTTTAGTTCTAATGTCCTCAAGTTTAGGTGAATTGTTTGAATGTGAATTTTAGGTTACTAATTGTTTGTACCTGTGTTCTAGGTTTTGGACTGACGATGGAGCTGGACTCCGAAACGTTTTCTCTTATAAGAAATGGTGAAATTTTTGGCTATTTTCTTTACTTTTAAATTCCTGATAAGTTGTTGAAGAACGCTTTCGATAAGGGATATAATAAATTTGAAATCATTGATTTATTTTCTAACGGCAATGGCAATATTGATGAATATCTCGAAAACCTACCTGAAAAACGTCAACAAAAATGTGCTATCGAATATTTTGAGAATACTGCTTCTGTGCCTGATCCCAGTGATATAGATCCGGGGATGAAGAATTTATTCATTTTTGATGATATTGCTACGGAAAAGAATCAAAATCCTGCTGATAGTTTTTACACCCGTGGAAGACATAATAACTGTAGTTATCCCAAAACCATCACATACTACCAAGACAAACCATTAGAACAAATTCAAATTTATTAATTCTATTCGAGTTACCTTTCATCGATATGAAGAATATTCATAGTGATTACATTGCTTGTGATATGCCCTTTGCCGAGTTTCAAGAACTGTGTAATGAAACGTATAAAGTACCTTTTAAGTTTTGTGTTGATTAATAAAGATGAGCACCCCGGTTCTGGAAAATATTTCAAAAATTTAAATCAATTATATATTCCACAGAAGTATTTTTCAGGCAATCGCTCTAGGTTAAGTCCTGAGTTTTCGGTTAAAGAGTGTAGTAAAATCGGGGTAAATGACCGTTAGCTCATGATTCGGGAGTAATTGGTTCATTTTGTTGGATAAGATTCATGATCGGTACCCTGTTAAGCTGTTTATACAAATTCGGGGGTAATTTTTCGTAATAATATTGAAGAAGGTTATATTCGGGAGTAATTGGTTAATTTTGTTGGGTAATATTCGGGGTAAATGATTGGTAAACTATAATTTAAGCTGTTTATGGAAAATGGCGCCATGCGCTCGGTCATGTAACTACTAATATATTTTATAGAAAAAGTCGTTGATTAGGTTAGATGCAACATACAAATTTCGTTGGCAACTGAGCTCAGCCGCGCACTGTCCAGCTTCAGCCATGAGCATATATTTCATGCCCTTAACACCATTCCTCCACATGCTAGTGAAAGCTTTCTGTCCCTCCGTGAATCCCTCTGTTTGGGTCCATATCTCGTTTTCATTCAAATCCCAATTTCAGCTTAGTACTGAAACTCCAATTGTTAGATTTTGTAATGTCAATGGAACTTATAAAATGATATATACATTACTGATTCAATGTGTGAACTCGTCAGGTTTTCAGTTCACAGCATCATCTGTTGTAGCATTCGTGTTGAATGAACTCATCCTACAGCGCTTCGAGAGAGCTCTGTGGAAAAGATCCGATAGCGAAGCTAATCTTCACTTGTTGGAGTCTCCATATCGAGTTTTGCTGCCGAAAATCACAAAAAACTGCTGCCAGGACGGCCAGTGTTGGTTCAGGTGTGTGTGTGGTGACCATTGCTTGACTGACTGCCTGCCTTTTGATTTGAGTTTGCTCTATTGTGTTCCTTTTTTCGTTTCTTCTGCTAAGTGATAATTTTTTGTTTGATGAAATTTAAATATGGAATGTTGTGTTGTTGGTTTATTCACTTATTTCCATTTTTAACAGACATCAACCATCACGTTATAATTATTCATTTCTCAGGTCTCCAATGCTGACGAGTTTTTGTAGGGACAGAATTGACTGGGGATCTCACGCTCCATCTCTCCTGCTATTGCACTTGGGCGTACACGACTTCACGCAGTACGAAGAGTGAGTGATGCGACCACTCGTAACTCAGGATAACATCGTGGAATCTCCTATGCTCCCTGTAGGATTACAAGTGCTAAGCTATCAAATCTCACTCTTAGAAGTCCTTTTGCTTCAATTTTCACTATGTGTTGAGGTCGAAAGTCACAAGAAGATTCAATAATTTCTACTTGCCTCGAAGAGAAAGTTTCACAAATTTTTCAGTCGCGTGGAACAACCAACTCGGGGCACCCTGAACTAATTTCGGCTAGAAAATATTGAAAAATTTTATGCTTCTTCATAGGCATAAAAATATTTCACTAACCTCGACTTAATTCATCAGTAAATTATTAATCTGAGTCTCAATCTTAGTCAGAGGATAATAAACGATCATATAAAGTATGTATGAAAGAGCAAAGCGTATTTTACCTTACCATTACCCCGGCATACAGCTCTTCCTTGGTTGTAATAATTTCATTTGTCGCGCAGTTTGGTGGTGGGTCACAGCGGTGATCTCCCACCCGCCCCCACCCTCATATCCTGGGTGCATCGGTACGCACCAAGGGGTCACATCAAGTCCAGGCAGCGGCGACGGCACTCGATGAGATATGACGAAGTTTGTCAAGTTTTTCCATCGCCAGGTGAGGATGACTTGCATATCATTCAAAATGTGCTCACGAGGCGTGCCTGTTTCTTATGAGTTGAGATTATAATGTGTGATGATATTTGTCATCAAATATATAATCGTGTTGTGTATCTCGGTTTTCCATTAAATCTGTCGCTCATAGCGCTGGGTTGAAATGGCAAGTTTCCTAGATTGATAGTCTCCATTTCAATTCAGGGATTGGTGCCTTGAAAAATTATGTGAAGAATGGAACATTACATGCTATGGCAAAAGGTTGAGTATAGCGACTTACGAACAATGTAGTGATTTACCATTTAAAACGAGTTCTGTTCATTCACGATGCATTATTATATTCTGAGCCCATGCTATCTGTTGTTTTATACATTTATACATATAAGATTGAGTGAATACATTTTCTGCTGAAGCTCCAATCATTTCATTATTCATCAAGAATCTCACCTAATCACCTTGCCACTATACAAACATACTAATAGTCTAATAGAGTCAAATGTTGTGTGCAGCGCCGTTACGGTCTCTGCAGGAGCTGTGTCGCCTCCCTGTCCGCGCGGCTCTCGGCCTGTCTCTTATACACATCTAGATGTGTATAAGAGACAGGTACACACCCACTCNCTGCATGCGCTCTCTGTCTGCATGCGCTCTCTGTCTGCATGCGCTCTCTGTCTGCATGCACTCTCTGTCTGCATGCGCTCTCTGTCTGCATGCGCTCTGTCTCTGTCTCTTATACACATCTAGATGTGTATAAGAGACAACTCTTGACTTGAGTAACATTGACCTGTTGCAATTAAAGTCAAGTAACTTAATTTACTGGACAATTTTCGGCCTCCATTGCACTGTCGATCGTTCAAAGGTGTCATTATTGAAGTATGAGCGAAATGACGCGAGCTTATTGCTAAAATTGGATAAAGTTCATTCAATTGTGCGGGCATAAATTGCCTAAAATGTTTCATTTTTGCCGCGTACGCTTAATAGTATGCCTGTGATAGCTACTGTATAAGCTATAATACAGTTGAATTTTGATTGACTTTCATTCTTATTTGTACGCATTCCCTCTAACCTAATATCGCCCAGCTTGAAGAAAAACATCCACTTACTAGGACATAATTAGAATAAATGATATATCAAGTGGAATCATTTGATGAATATGAGCAGTGATTGAGCAGCCGATCATGATGCATAAGGCTAAATCTGCAGCTGCTAATGCATTTGTTCTCAAACTACAACTATGCTTTTTCTAGCCAAATTTAGACGCCCTCAGGCTCGTCCATGATGATGTGATGAAGATGCCATGGGTATAATGGATACAGATTCAAAATTGAAGCTTGAATTACGAGAACAGTTTTAACGTCCTGGCATGGTTTCAATTTGCATCCATATACCCTGTGTTAGTATATTTCTGCAAAATTGGTTCCTCTAAGCAGGTTTCATTGAAGCCCAGAGAATTCGTTTAATTGACAATTTTCTTATTAGTTTTTTTCAATAGATCGAACAAGATTTTTCGTTTGTATTGGTAAAGCGAAAATCAGAGTACCGATGGACATTTTTATTTCGTTAAAATCGTTTCGAATGTATCAATCATTCATTATGAAGTTACAACACGCATTGAGTGGTGGAATTTGGATCGAGATAGGCATAAAATCAATTGAATAGGTTACTTCTCAAAAATCGGAATTGTCGGAAATAATTACAAAATCACAAAAATATGCTGATAATCAAGAATTAAAATACCGAAAATTACTCCGAAAACAGTCTCAAGGTCTGACAAATCCAGTAGTTT